GGGAGCGCCAAGAGGAGCCGGGTCCAGCGCTGTGAATGTTTAACCTCGGGCTTTAGGGACGGGGGTTTCGGGGATCAGAGATTCCCCGGACTTTGCACCCCGAAGCTGCGGCGTTCCCGCTGTGCCCTGTGCTGGCAGGGGCTGAGCCGGGGGTTTGGGGACAGCCCGAGGCTCCCGGGCACAGCTGTGTGACAGCGCTGCTCGGAACGGGGGTGGGAAGCGCCCCTTGGGCAGCTGGGTTAGATCCGCTGAGGAGTATTGCCTTTGAAAAAAAAAAAAGAGAAATAAATAGACCAGGATGGGGGGCAGGTACTGCAGATCAGGACAGGGGGATTTGGTGCTTATTTCTCTTGTCACGGTATTTGACAGAAACTCTAAAAACTGAGTGCTAAACGCCCACTGAGTGAAACTTTGTAGTGAAAAACCCTATTGTCTAATACGACACAATTCCTAAAAATCATATTTAAATCCCTTCTCCATTTCTCCTTCTGAAAGCAGCATCAATAGAAATTCTGTTGCCATTCTGCTCTCTGAGGTGCATTGGAAATACATTTGTGCGTAGCAACACTCACTCCTGGATGATTCCTTGCTTTTATTTGCTCAAGTTTCTCAAACAGTGACAGGAACCAGGTAAACAGTGTAAAATAACTTAATTGGCCTCTGACAGAAAGGAAAACTTAAACATTTATTTAAATGCTTTCTATTTTAAACAAGTATAATGTACCCAAAGTAGGTGACTTAGAGAATAAAGCTACTTTAGAGGTGGCTGGTTTGGTTTTTCATCTCTGAATGCCCCAGTTATTAACCCCAGCCTCACCAGAAAACCATTGTCAGGGTAACTGTATTACTGCAGGTAAAGAATGTCAGCCTGTCAGGCAATAACATCACATCTCCAGCTCCTTTCATCCCCATTTTGACCCAAATGAGAATGAAAATGTCCCACTGGACACCATGTGTTTACAACCAGAAGTTCACTCCTTCTGGAACTTGAATATTCAGGCAAAGTTTTGCTTCTGTGGACTTTTAGCCCTGTTAGGCAGGGTGAGGTTTAGCATCGTGCCAGAAATCAAAGGGTTATTTTATTGCATTTAGCAGCATTTCACTTCTCCATTGCTTTGATCTCTCCTCCACCTGTTCTCCGTTCCATCTGGCAAAAGGTCATGGCTGGATTTTGAATTCTCATCCAAGAGTTTCTTTGTTCATTTAAGAATCCCAAATTATTTGGGGGTGCTGTTGCTATAAACCCTTATTTCAGGATAATAAATCCTTACTTTATAAGGATTAATAACCCTTATTAATCCTTATTTTAGGATTTATAACCAGCGACACATTTTCCTGTCGCCTAATGATTTTTGGTGTCTCCTTTTTTTGTTTTGTTTTTTTTTTATATCTGGGGTGGGGATGAGTGTAAGGTGGAATGTACAAGAAAGGGTTTTCCCTCTTGTGCTGCTCAGCCCCCCAAAAAATTTCAGAATAACCCACCTGTGCTGCAGGAGAACACCCAAAATTCAGTGTAACAACTTGAATCACTCTCTTGACCCTGAAGTCAATTTGATTTTCTGACTGGAGGCATTGCCTGCAGCGAGGCTGAGCGTCTGCAGGGCCCGGAGCTTTTCAGGATGTTCAGTGAAATTCCCATTTTCCGCCCCGTTTCCACGCCCGGAAGCGTGGGGAGGTGACGGGATCCTGTGCCTGCATCCTGCCCCGTGTGCCATCTGTTGTGTCCCCTTGGAAAGGGCTGAGCAGGGCTTTGTTCTCTGGGCAGGCAGACCTGGCAGACACCGAGGTGTGGAAAGATGGAAAAACGGGCTGGCTTTGGGAGGATTTGGTTTTGTGAGCAGGAGGAAGGAGGGCTGGGGGATTTGGGGTATTCCTGCCCTGTGGAATCCTGTCTGGAGCTGTGTCCTGGGCTCAGCAAAGCTGAGCTGGCTTCTCACAGTGTTCCCAAAAGTAGGACAGGCTTCATTTAAATACATATTAATTAAAAAGAATGAAATTTACAGCGGAGTCTGGATCCTACACTATTGTAAATGCAGGCAAACCCAATGGGAAGAAGTGCTGATGTCCGACTCAATTCAGAAGGCTGAATGATTTCTTTATTATAACTGTGCTAAAATACATTAATATAGTATATTAAAGGAGGATACTAAAACTACATATTACTTTCTCTGACTCCAACACAACTCGTGACCCTCTCTGAGAGTCCAGCCCCAGGTGGATTGGATTGACCACCAGGCTCAAACAATCCTCACCAGAATCTAATTAAATACTCACTCTAAGTAAACAATTCTCCAAACACATTCTACATAAGAAAAACAAGGAACAGAGATAGAAATTGTTTTCTCTTTCATTTCTCTCTGTGCACCTCTATGAAAATCTTGAGAGGGAGAGAAATGTGCTTGCCACACTACACAGCAGACCTAAAAAATCCCGTGGCCAGCAGCAACGGGGACTGGGATTTCCCTGGTTTTATAGAAAGTCTTTTTGCAGCAGAAGAGGATCTGCCTGCACGAGGAACCAGCTGAACAGAGGGCAATGAAGCTGAAAAGTGGGAGGGGGTAGGGAGGAAATGTTCCTTTCTGGCTCTTCTTCTCTCAGTGCTGTGGTCTTGGCAAGGCCAGAGTCCACTGAGGACGTGGTGGCAGCCCACAGGTGACCAAGCTTTGTCACCACCTCATCCAAAGCTGGGTAAATGGATGATCCCAAATCCAGCAGTTGGGAGCTGTGGTTGGTGGGTGCCAGCCTGGGAAGGCTCCAGCCTGCCCAGAGGTTCTCCACTCAGACCCTTCCCAAGCTGCCTTAGAAGAAAAAGAGAGCTATTTTCCTGAGAAAACACCTAAGATACCACCCATAAACCCAGAGGATCTGTGTTACCACTTCAGAAAAGGAAAGCAGAGTTATTTTCCTGGAAAAACAGCTGAGATACCACCCATAAACCCAGAAGATCCGTGTTGCCACTTCAGAAAACAAAAAAGAAAAGCAGAGATACTTTCCTGGAAGAACAGCTAAGATACTGCTCACAAACCCAGAGGATCTGTGTTGTCACTCCAGAAAAGAAAAGCAGAGTTATTTTCTTGGAAGAACAGCTAAGATACCACCCATAAACCCAGAGGATCTGTGTTGCCACTTGAGAGCTGACATCATTTGGAGGGACAAGTGGCAGTGGCAGCTCTCAGGGAAGATGCTCAGGGTGAGCCCAGCAGTGCAGGAGCCCCTGCATCCCCTCTCACCCTGCATCAGTGCCAGCAGAAGGGGTGATGCCCACGCGGGCAGGGAGAGCCCCCGGCTGCCAGGGGCTCCTCTGGCTGCTGCAGCACGGCCAGAGCCTCCTGCCTTTCCCCTGGGGGGTTGTTTTGCTGCTCCCTGCCTCTTGTGCAGGGCTATCTGCCCTCCCCAGCGCCTGCTGAGGGGGACCCTGGCTCCCCGATAAGGCTCCCCCCAGCAGGGTGGGGACGCCCAGGGGGTTGTGGAAGGAGCTGGGGGTGCTCAGCCTGGAGAAGAGGAGGCTCAGGGGTGACCTCATTGCTCTCCACAGCTCCTGAAGGGAGGTGCAGACAGGTGGGGTCGGTCTCTTCCACCGGGCAGCGCTGACAGAACCAGAGGAAACAGCCTCAGCTACGGCAGGGAAGGTACAGGTTGGATATTAGGAAAAAAAAATTCACCAAAACAATAATAAAGCACTGGAGCTGTCTTCCCAGGGAGGTGGTGGAATCGCCATCTCTGGGTGTGTTTAAAAAAAGCCTGGACATGGCACTTGGTGCTGTAGTCTAGTGAAGTGTTAGGGCACGGATTGGACTTGATGATCTCAGAGGTCTCTTCCAACCTCTTTATTCTGGGATTCTGTGATTTCTGTGATTCTGTGATTCACTTTAGCCCTTCAAATCGCCTCCCCACAGCTCCATCCCACTGAGCCCCGTGGGCACAGCGAGGCAGCAGTGCCTCTTTTGTGCCCTTGTTCTCCTTCCTTC